CTCAAAAATTATTATCTATTTGCAAAGTCAATTCAAAAATTTAAACAATAAAATACTTAATATCTTAAAATATACAAAAAAAAATTTAAAAATTAATTACACATTTAAAATGAATAACTTTCAAATAGACCTAATGGCCTTTTTGAAAATTTCAAAAATTTTAATATAACAAAAATAAAAATTATAAAGACCTAATCAAAATAGCTATACGTTACAAACTAAGATTTTGTATGTGAAGTTATTTATACCAATGGAATTATAGACACTATAAATGGTAGAGTAGGTCAAGTCAAAATCAAATAATAAGAAGGTTGAAAAACTAAGAACATCTTTGTAATTCTAAATCCTAAATTCTTAATCCTAATAGTTTAGATATTTAACATAATACATTATAAACGATTTTTAAATATTAATTTGGATCATATGTTGTAATGGAAGTCTTTGATGATAGTACATACTTGTTACAAGAGCTTGATGGAACAAAATTAAAGACACCTATAAAAAGCAAGCAAGTTAAGTTATTTTGACAAAAAAATGTATGCATTTATTTTTATGAAGAATAAAATCTATTAAGTGATATTAAATTGGAAGTTGATGAGCAAATTAAAGACCAAAAATTTGACCGAGATGAAGATTGTCCTATATCAATATGTTGAAGAATAATTGATACATGCCAAAAGATGCACAAATTCAAAAAGAGTGGATGTTGTGCTGTAACACGACCATTAAATGGAAGAAAAAAAAAAATTATATTATGGAAGAACTTAAATGGAAATATTTTGATAAATTATCTTAAAAATATATATAATAAAAAAGAGGTAATAAAAATTAATAAATGCTAATGCTAACTTTTTATAAAGAAAACTTCTACTTATTTTGTAGGACAATAAATGAAACAAATAAAAATAGGTAAAAAAAAATTGATATAAACATCTTTAGAAAGAAATTGAAAATAGTTTTAAAAAAAATTATATTAAAAAATCAAAAAATGATATCTAATGAGAATTAATTATGAACTAGGATGGAAATCAAATCCTAAGATAGAAAACTAGGGACTTATGATAATTCAAGGATTTTTTCGATTAATTAAAGAACATATTATAAAAGTAGAATATAGAAAGGTTCTTTGAGTACTTCTTTTGAATAATTAGAATTTGTATTGACTTTATAAAGCCTTTGCAAAGTAAATGTTGTTTTGTGTTGATTTTGAGTTTTTAAAAAATATAAAGAGCTTATACTTTGAAAAATTGCATGAGATTGGTAGATGGTCTATTAGTAAAAAAAAATTTGGTTTTTTTATCAATATTGTGCTAAATCTATATTTTAAGTTTAACCTTGATCTAATAGTTCATCCAAAGTTTATTGAAATTTAAATATATTAAGATCTCAAGAATTAGAATTTTAAGGATTAGTAAAGGTTTCTAAGATTTATAGCAATTTTTCAATTGGATCGAGTTAAAATTTTGCACAAGAGTGGTAGACTTGATTTTCAACACTTATACATAGTTTGAAAGTCATTAAATAATGAAATTAAGAGATATTGGCATTGAAAGATTGGCATCAAGATTGGAAAAGAAGGTCATGCAATATCCAAGCAAATTTAAGGATTTATCTTCTATTTGGTATGTTTGATATCTTTAAAAAAATTGTGCTTTTTATTAACTTAGTAATTAAGAAGCATATAAATTTTGAGTCAAAATCTATAGTTAGATTATTAATTATTGATGTTTTAATATGTTATAGGATTGGATAAGAGTTTGTTTAAGATTTAAGGTTCAATTAGGATTTTATTAGGATTTGATTTAGGAATAAAGATTTGATTTAGGAATAAGGATTTGTTTTAGGATTTAGGATTTAATTAAGATTTGATTTAAGTTTTAGAATTTTATTAGGATTTGATTTAAGATTTAGAATTTTATTAGGATTTGATTTAAGATTTAGAATTTTATTAGGTTTGATTTTTGATTTAAGATTTGATTTGGAATTGATTAAGATTTGATTTAAAATTTAATATTTGATTAGGGTTTGATTTAGGAATTAAAATTTTATTAGGATTTATAATTTAAGATTCAAGATTTAGGATTTGATTAGGATATGATCAAGGTTTATTTAGGATTTATTTATATTTATATTTATAATATTTTTTATGGATTTTTTCAATATATATATATATTTATATTTTTTATAATTTCATTAGGATTTCAATTAGATTTTATCAATATTTGATTATAATTTTTGAGGTTTATTTGAAATTTATATGAAATTCTATTAGAATTCTTAGAACCTTATTGTTGAAATTTCTATTTTATCTTCTAGAATTAAGTGCCTAGTGTATTCTCAAGCAAGACTTTACTTAATACAATATTATAGTATGTAAGCATGTGTGTAAGATAGAAAGCATACATTAAGTGATTAAGTTTTAGACTTTTTGGAAGAAACAAGCAAGGCAAAGAAATTTTTATTAGTTGCTACATTGACTGCACTACTTACATTAAAGAAAACAATGTCACAACAAGTGAGCATTCATGTGAGAGGGAAGGCTTAGAACTCTCAACAATTACAAGGTAAGATAAGGAATTGTGAGTGAAGTCAAGCAAGGATCTGTTTGCTTAGATTTTGCCATACATAGGATGATAATGCAACTAATTGATAGTCATTTTCCATGGAACAAATGAAAACTTAACCAAGGCATCCATTACATTTCTATGCCAACATGTGGTAGTTGAGAGTGGCTATCACTTCTTTTATATTAATATTTTGATGCCTCATATTTCCAAAAGTAAAAATATATTTTAGATTCTAATTATACCACTAGAATTGCAAGTATTGCAAATAAATATATATACTCACAACTCAAAAGAAATTTTCAATTTTTTTAAAGATAGCCTCACAATTCTAAAATTTTAAATACTAATCTCTAAATTCTATTCTCTAAATCCTAAACCAAAAACCCTAAATCCTAAATTTAATTTATATTTGTGTAGATTTTGTTTATTGATGTTTTGTTAATTTTTTTGTTGTTTCTACATCTTACATTCCAATGTATCTCTTGAATGTACATTATAGCATATATCTTTGTGTTCAATAATGCAAAACTTATGTTTCTATTAGAGTAGAGCAATTAAAAAGCATTTAATATATTCATTGGAATTTCTTTAATATATGATAAATAAAACAAAAATTATAGGTTTTCATATTGGTAAACCTATTTGTAAATCTATCTTTTGAGTCAACGACTATATGTTTTCTTGGTCTGAGGTTGGTAAATTGTATATTTTTTTGGTACAAAATTTAAAATACCTTTTTACTGGAGGAGTAACAAAAAGAGTTTCACAGAAGAGGAATAACAAACGGAGTGCAAATTTGTGGTGCAGGTTATTATACTTCTTGTAGGGGGGGTTGAAAGTAGGTTGTAAGGCCACCCAGAACTCCAAGTTTCTTTAGAGGCGCCGTCCTAAGATGGGATCCTGAATTTGCTGGTGCGGTCCAAGGGCAGCGATGGAGGCTAGGAGCAACTGGATCAGTTATTGCACAAAATGAAGCCCTCACAGCAGCCGTAGTCGTCTAAGGAACTTACCGCACAGGACGTGGCCCCTACGATGACTGCCACAGCCATGAAAGCACCATCTGCCGCCTCTCCAACAAGACCTTAAATTCTGTGTCTATATCTTGCATTCATGCTCCGCATGTTAGCACACACTCTGCCCTTACATTTGACCATCTGTATTATATTTTTTCTTTTTAACAACTTCCTTACGCTGCATGCAACTCCTCCGTTTATGATTTTTTCACTTGTGCATGCCCAATATGATTTCCTGGAGAATTGCCGGTTTCATTCTTTTGGGTTGGGGTCTTTCACTTTTGCATATTCGTAGGATTACAATTTCATCTGCTGTAGGAGTTGTGTTTGGGTCAACTGTAAAGATTGATTGCTCTCCGAGTGCAATCGACACTTCTGCCAAAACAATATCACGAGTTTGATCGTCAATAAAGTGATATCTATCTCTAATTATGGAAATCGTAGCCTGCATTAGGAATATCCAAGTTTACGCTAACTTATTAGTTTAAAATTGAGAAAACCCCTTGATAGGGTCTGCGAGGTGAGACACACATTGCATTCAATCCATGTCAGAGTTCTGTAGCAGCGTCTGTCTCAATTTTGGATATTCCTGGACAACCTCTACTTTCTTCTCCTGCGAAAGTTTGTAACTTACGGCCATTATGCCACTGCGTTGAAATGACCGAGTCTTTCCGTTGGCAGCAGTATCGTTTTCCCATTTTATTCCAAGTATATTCGGCGATGAGCGGTAGGGTTGAGAATTGTAGAAAGCACTCAGTAAATGGAACACCTAATGGATTTCGTGAGGTTTTATTTTTGATTATCGAAGCTACTGGTCACCATCGGGGGCCCAAGGTGTTAACTCATAACTAATTTCAATGTTTAATTTGGTACGCAGCTCCTGGTGATGTGGGGAGGGAAGATTTCAGTGTGCTTTGGTATTTATCCAACTTGGAAAGGTTTTCACTTATGTCTAGGTATATCCTGTTGCATGAGCAGCCTCCGTTTCTTCAAGATTTTTTTGGTTCGTTAGGGTAGATCGTTAGATGTCACCATTTTATGAGGCTTTCACTCCCGTTCTCATCACTTCTTGGATTGTTCCTTTCGGAAAACCAAAGTGCCCTGCTTCAAGCTTAGATTATTTTCATTCATATTCACTTAACAGTTTTAGAGTCTGCTGTATAGTGAGGATTGGGTAAGTCCTTGAACCATAGCTGTGGCCAACATACTTCCAGACCCCACTAGGCCCGTTGCCTAAAATGTCGAGTTGACAATATATCTTTCAATTACCACTCTAAGAATCCCTTTGGTGGCCACAGGTTTCCCTTGCCTTGTGCTTTTCTTTCCCTGCCATTTAGCGACTGTGGCTATTTCCTCAGCGCGACTGAAACTTATGTATTCGTCGTTGCTAATGGTCGTGAGCACAGAAAAGCGTAAGTATTCAATAGGGTTTTCTGCACCACTCTCGTTGCTGTACATGTGGAACTTAGGGCGGGTATTTCTTTGCAAGTATTAGTCGCTATTGAAGGAGTGGGTTTTCTTAGGTTTTGTTTGGTTTTTATCTTTCCTGCTACAGAAGTCGAAGATTAACTATCTTTCATATGGAATGAGAGGTTGTATTAGATATATATTCTTCTAAGTATCTTTTCTTTTGTTTTGCCACACACGGTAGCTCACGTGTTAGGTTTTGATGGGAGCCTGGGGAGGGTCCCTGCTATTAGTTTCTGTCCTAGTGAAATCAGAGAACTTGTTTCCATATTTACTGTTTAACAATTCATTGTTTCTTGCTTGGTTTTCTTCCATCATTTAAAGTGATTCTGCGACAGACTTGGTACGATGCAAAGTGCTTGCTTTCGTCTTTTCTTGTGGTAATGAAGCAATAGAATACTACATAAGCTTAGTCTACAATCTCCCCGAGTTCCTGTGGGGGGCTTCCTTGTACCTGCATGTTCGGCCACCCTTGATGTAGAGAACGCAGAGGGTTTACATCTGGGGCTCTACCGTTGTAGTTTCCTTAGCGGGTTCAGTTGGCAACCGTTCCCAAGATTCCCTCTCTCCTGACCTTTGTCAGTTGGTTTACTTCCCGTGCTACACCCCTCATCGATGCAACTGGTTCATTTCGCAGTTTGCGTCATGGATAATCGACGTGCTATTTCCCAGCATAGAGTGGACTCCAGAATAAAATTCGAGAGATCTCCTGGCTTTAGTGGCCATGGGTTGAGAGGCTACATCGGCAGCGACTCTTTTTCATAATTGTGTGCCTCTTTTTCACACTCTGGTAGTCTGTCTTTCCTACAATTGGTTGTCGGCCCACTTCATACTGTTTGGCTCTCGAGAGCAGGATAGCCTCGGGGGGACTGACTAGACATTTAGTGAACCTTCCCCTCAGCATTAATGGTTTGCGGGTGCAAGGAAAATATCTTCAGAATAGCTTATTATCAACACCTGGTTTAAGTAGAAACTTCTGAAATCGTATTTGCAGACCGATGGACTGTGAGAAGTTATCCAGGGATGCGTGCATGAATGCCGTCCAGAATAGTGACGTCTTGCGGCGGACTGTGGCTCAGGTCAGTTGCACCATCCCTGAGGAATGCTTTTAGCAAAAATCATCTTGCACAACATCTTGTGTTGATTCAAACATTAATGTGGTTACCCAGTTGTAAGCACACTGCCCTTCGTCCACAACCTTCCATATAAATCCTAGTCTTTGCTACTTGAAGAAGTGATGGACAGCAAAATAACGGTGCACATGAGCTGGACCGTTCTCCGCTAGCCCACCTGAGGTTCTGTCAAATTTATCGACCATGTAGTCCTCAACTTCAAGTTTATTCAAAGCTCAATTGTAATTAGAACCGAGCATCAGTAATCTTCATTGACAGAAACGAATCACTTTTGAGAAGTTGCTGGATTTAGTCCAGGAACGTTTACAGATCACAGTAGCTTACACTTAAGGACGAAGAATGTCTTATGTCCGAGATTTAAGACGGCTCTTTGCTCTTCGGTCCCTTCATTTCATGCGAGGTTTTAATTTTGATTTATTTTATTTTCTTCCCTTTTTGTTTCTTCTTGATTTCATGTTTTTCGAATGTGTGATCATGGATTAGTTTTGTTCCCGATAGCAATTTCAGAACTCTTGCATTACGTCCAGTTGTGTTCGGTTTGTTTCCGGCTGAATTCAATTTTTCTTGACCTTATTTCTAGCATTGAACAAGATCTAATGGTGGCTAGTGGTTGCTGGCAGGATATAGTTGAAGAAGGGAGCTGGGGTGATGTGCGTTTGTGGAATGCCTCCGATCAGCAAGATCCCGAAGCGAAAGTTGGCCACGACCCGGATTGGCAAGGGTGGAAAGGTCAACACGAAGCTTTTAACGACATGCTGAAACCTCAAGTAACCAACTCCCGTATGGAAGGCATTGGTGATGGCATTCCTGTCTTTCTGTCGCCACAATTGACCGTAGAAGATTTAACCTGTGATGGAAAATCAGGGGATAGCAACGATGCCGCATTTTTCAGCGTCTCGGAATTGGATGTGATTACCAAGGATGGTGTAGTGCCTTACTCTTTGTTGGTCGGGACGGAGAGTAAAAATGAATGCAATGGCGGAGTTAGCGATGAGCGAAATTCGGTTCGAAAATCTGGGGACACTACTGAATTTGCTGAATTGTATCCTTCAGGTTACTCTTCTGACAATGCAGAGGACCTCAGAACCCAGCAGCTATACGTCCAGTTAAGTCGAGAGCCTCGTAGTTGTATTGCTGGCGTTTCCGCTGTGCCTATTTCAAACCAATCCAACAATTTGGAGGATGGTGTCGCATGCGATGTCTCGACCTCCTCCCCTCCTGTTTGTGAAGCTCAAGAAGGTCAATGTGGTACAGGGGAGGCAATAGCTGTTTCGAAAGTGTGTGAGAGTGGTGTATCCTTCGTAGTGGCGCTGCCACCAACCGAGGCTACAATTGAGATCACTGAGCGTCAACGTGCAGTTCAGTCCTTTGAGATTGTAGAGGAGGGTTCACGCTTTTCAAATGTGAATATTGAAGATAATGGTAATGTAGCGAGCTGGCTTCAAGCTCCTCAGGCTCGTGGGAAGGCTCTTGTGAGACGGGGTAGGCCACGTCCATGGTCTGCCGAAAGTCGAGAGGCGACACGCAAGAGGGTTAAGATCGATGAGCAGTACGGTGATCCATCACCATGTATGGAGTTGACGGTATGTGACCAGACTTGCCTTATTAAAGCTACTTTGTTTAATGACTAATTTTCTTACGTTTTTTCATGTTGGCCAAATACAACCGTGCTCGTCATTTTCTTTTGAATACAAAGAAGTTAACTTCACAGATTCTGAACACTTCATCATCTTCACAGAACGCTTCATTACAAGATGGAATCGCAAAATCAGAAAGTGCCGATCAGGCGCATGACTCTACGATTCTAGAACCGTCCTCACTGGCCGGCATGAGTGCAGAGCCTTCTGTTTTCGATCTCCATGCTGATAACGAACAGACTCCTATTTCAGTGACGATGGTCGGGAGCGACGTGGTTGACAGAATAGAGATCCCAGTAAAAGCAGAAGAGAGATTCCCGAGGGTGACTCGATGTGGTGGCATTACTCTGCACGGAAATCAGTGTACCCATAATGTGAAGGATGGCTCTGGATTTTGTGTGAAACATACGAAACATATTGATATCGAATACAGTCAGAAAACATATCTGGATGGTTCAAGTACCTCAAATAGAGGAGTTATGTATACTTCACATAAACCTGCAGATATGATTGTTTTTCGTTGCCGTGGAAAAACCCTTCAGGGTACACAATGCACTCATAATGTGAAAGACGGGGCAGCATACTGCTTGAAGCACGGGGATCAGGATTGGGGACCTCCTCCCAAACGTACTGAGTTACCTGGACTTGCAATTCCACAGGACAGACCTGTTCAAACTCTTGTACTTCCTGCTCAAGTACCGAATCCAACAATTGATCCAGTTCCTATTCAGATGCCGCGTCTGCTCGCCGCACCTGCATGTAAGTGCTCCAAGTGCCTTATTTGCTTACATGATGGTCCGTATCCTGTATTTTCACTTTTCAGCAGCCTTTGTAGATGATATTTTTTTGGCAGTCCAACCATGATGGAGATGAAGTAAATATGTAAAGGGCCTGCATCTGTACCTGCCATGTATTTGTTATGATTTGGCTTGAAGACCTTACTGTTGGTTATGCTTGGAATACTTAGCTCCGAAGGATAATGACGATGGTGCAGCCGTTCCTCGATGTATCGGTCGAACTCGCCGAACCGAGGAACAGTGTTCATTTAGGCCTAAGTCTGGTTCATTGTTCTGTGAGCGACACGCTCGCCAGTTTCGAGAGAAGGGAAAGGGAGATCACGAATTGAAGTTTGATGCGCTGTGTACGAGTTCACCAAGCGCGAGTCTCTCTGCGAGTGCTTCGTTAAAGAGGAGGCGATGTCAGGAGGGCCTGTACTTGGGAGACATGAGTAGCACAGGGGAGAGAAAAAGTTTGTCTAAAGCAAAGGATATGTTCATTGACATTCTAAATGCTGGACTACTACGCGGGAAAGGTAATGTGCTGCATTCTACCAAAAGAAGATAGCATTTTTTCAGAGCAATGTGACATAGGCTAAGCTGGTTGAGGCCTCTCTATTGAGGAATGCTTGTTTGGTAGTGCGAAGTATCGTGTGAACATGTTGTGATCTCATAATTAATAACCTATCCTAAGCCTTGTGCACTTAAGGGAGTGCTCTCTGGGCATTGTCCCTCTCTGCAGTTTAGTCTGTACTTTGTTTTTGAAGTAATGATAACCATGCGCTTGTTTATGGATGTTTTCCTAATTATCTGAAATTTATGTCAAGCTGTAGCTAACTAGCTGGATGATGTATCGGTTTCAGCTGTAAGCACAGATGGGAAGGACCTTATCGGATGGATCTGTGAAGAGGCAACTAAGGATGCAGTATCTGGAGAAACGCTTCTTGGCCTTCTCTCCGAGGAGAAGGAGAGACTACGTAAGGTTCTTATAGAGGAGCGTAAATGTTTAGCAACGATGAAGCCTCGTCATTTCTGGCAAACAAAATACTCTCCACATCTTGCAAGAACGTATCTAAAGATGATGGACAATGGGAACGTTTGCGCTAAGGATGATGAGTATAAGTTCCAGACAATTGCATCAGGTCGTTCACCAAGCGACGCAAGTGAAACTTTTGAATCTTGTCCATCCTCTGTTCAGGTGCTTTGTTTGCCCACTCTCTCATTTCCTTGATCTGCAAATAATTTTGAGTTTCATTGTCTAAATTCAATATATTTTTCGATCAGTGAACGGCAAGTTCAGTGGCTGGAACATGCGTAGTGATAAAGTTGGGATGCTGAACTTGTTAGCGGTTTGTTGTTCTCACCAGATGTTGAGACAAGGAAGTAATACCGCCAGGGGCACGCTCGCATGTGCTCTTTGCACCGAAAAGTTTGCAGAGATGCCCTCTCTAGGGAAGCATTGGAAGGAAGATCATAAGGAAGAGGCTAATATGTTTCAGAAAGGGGCAGCATGTTGTGAATGTAGACAGAACTACTACGATAGAAGGGAATTGCTTATGCACTGGAAGTCTACCCATCCTACACTACCAATTGGTGACCTTGGTATGACTGTGTGCGTGATATGTGACGAGAAGTTTAAGAATTTTGACCTGCTATGGTTGCATGTTGAGGATCAACACTTCCTTGAATTTAGTAGCGCGAAATTTGTGGATCACGTAAAGGAGGGCATGTCAAGAGCAGGAAATGCGTTGAAGTGCACAGTGTGTTGGGAAGAGTTTGATATAGAGTTGGAGGTTTGTAATCATAAAGGGATTGTTCACAATGGCCTTTCGTCTTCAGATGTATGTGGTGTTAGTGACTCGCCTATTGCAGACACTAGCAGTGTCAGATCCACTGTCAATGGCAGTGAAGCGAGCCCCGGCAGATTCAAGTGCAAGTTCTGTGGACAGAGATTTAAACTTTTACCAGACTTGGGAAGACATCATCAAGCTGAGCATCGAAAATCTACTAGTAAGGTTTCCCCAAATATGGAAGGTTTGCAAATTGTGGAAGCAAAGCTGCCACCACTTGTTAGGAGAACTCCACTACCTAATCCAGCAACAACCAGCTCACCTCCTGGCAAGATGCTACCTTTATCAGAGCTGTGTACACCTCGACCCAGTTTTGAAATCGCCAAGCAAGTTGAGCAGCAGAGTTCAGTATCTGGGGCAGTGGGGTGGTCATGCCACTTGCCTGTTGTAGCTCCCCAGTCCCAACGTTTTAATTTCAGGCACTTAAAGACAATCGCAAGAGAGAAAAGAAAGCTAGATGAGAAGATTGTCGGTGGCCCATCTGTACCAGCACCGATTTTACCATCGGTTGTACCATCTGTTTCAGTGGTGTCCAAGAAACGGCGGCGGCGACGAAAGAGAATGGAAGTCCTGCAGGATATGAAGTTGGTTCCTTCGAAGAGAAAGCAAGGAGGGTTTGCCAAGCATATCGTTCAGCGTATGAGGGCAGTACAGCAGAGTCAGCATGAGCGACATGGGTCCAATGAACCATTAGTAGATGCCAAGACCGTCTCTAAAATTCCATCTCAGCGAGTTTTAAATGTAACTGGATGGCCCACGAGTGCTGAGATGCTTAATGCTGCTCGTGTTGCATGCTGCAAAGACTTCATGTACAGAGAATTAGCAAAGAAGCATACCAATTTACATCAAAGTCTTCACCTTCAAGTTATAGCTCTATGTTCAGCAATGGGAGTTGACATTCAGTGGCAGGCAGATGCCTTTATTTGTCCCAATCAATGTTCACCCTTCCATGCTGCGGGTGCAGCTGCTCCACTTTTGGATGTTGACATGGCTGGATTTTCTGAAGCCCCTTTCAAAGCCCAAGCTGGTAAGTTGTTTTTGCTCAGAATTGGTACAAACAAATCCCGAGAGAGAGAGAGAGAGAGAGAGAGAGAGAGACCGCGCGAGAGAGAACTCAGCTAAAATATGTTTCATGCTGACGGAGATCTTTTTGACGACATAGGGCCAACACTTCTGAAGACTATCGATATGAAAGATTTTATGAAAGGAAAGCATATGGTGATCCATGAGGATTTGAGTAATGGCCAAGAACCAGTACCAATTCCATGTGTGATTGATGAAGATCTTTTAAGGCCCTGTACATGTGCCAATTGTTGTGAAAATGGCATAAACGCTGCTCTGGAGGTTGCCGAGCCGTGGAAAACATTCAGCTACATCAATAAAAGGCTGCTGGACCCGTCACTAGGTCTCGATACTGAGGTGATCTTTCTCTCTTGTAAGCATAGTAGTTTGCAGTTTGTGCAGAAGATTAGTGCTTGATTGGTCACATGTCTTTCTCAATGAAAGGTCCCTTCCCTTTGTCAGGGCAAGTGAGGTTGAACATAGTCTCCCAATAGGTCCCTGCTCTAGTCATTTCTCAAGTTTATATGCTCGGAATGCGTTCCCCTAGAACCCTGCTTATTCTGGAGATAAACTACATAGCCAGGTATCCAGGTTTGTCTGGTCATAACATGTTGGTCAAGTTGTTCTCATGCCCTAATTGGCCACCTCGATGGTGTCGAACTGACTGCTTTTCATCAGACTTGATCTTTCGCAGAACATTAGACCTGCATATAATCCTTCTATTTTTTTAGATTGGCACCTCATGTTCCGAAACGTATCTATTAGCAAGAATTTTTCAGCGCGTCCAATTGTTAAATAATAAAATCTCAAAAGCGTCTGAAAATGAGCTACTGAGCGTGTCAGGTATAGTACACGAAATTACATCACAGGTGGCTCGTGGAGTTACTTCAGTACATAATATAGATCAAGCTAAGAGTTTTTATAAAAATGACTTTTCTACTCGTGTGATGGCAGAAAAGCAAGCTAACTCTGGATCTCTGTACCTATCGGAATGATGAGCTGTTATTTTTGAACTGAAGTACACTCTTTCGCAAGAGACATGCAGTGGTTCTAAGAGGTTCTCTTATTAAATGAAATAGTAATAAGTTACGTGGAGTCTTATAATGCAGACACTGAATAAATTCAGCGGAAGCAGGTGTAGCATAAAATAACATGCTAGTCTAATATGAAAAAGCACGAATCGAACTATGTATCTGGAGAGTAAGTAGTAGAGTTTATAAGTGGTTGGAAAAATCCTTCACCATCATGGAACTGCAGCATATGTATTTGAATACTCATTTGTATTGATTTTCGTTTTTGGTTTAATTTTCGTGTTAGCAGAGTTCGAAACTTGGATGCGCATGTGGAGAAGGTAGGTGTGATTCTGGCCACTGTGATCACGTCTTGATGTTTGACAATGACAACGGGGAGGCCTGCGACAAGTCGGGAGTAGCTATAAAAGGTCGATTCCCTTATGATGCTCAAGGCCGAATCATTCTTGAGGTAAGCTACCATAAGGATGCTTCCGTGATTTTGGAATGTTCCACCGTGAATTTTATTACATATGGTCCTTGCACATGAATCATCTTTGAATGGCAATATGAATCATATGAGTTTTGCAGGAGGGTTACATGGTATATGAATGCAATTCTAGCTGTCTTTGTCGGGAAGACTGTCAGAACCGTGTCTTACAAAAAGGAGTTCGAGTGAAGCTTGAAGTGTTCAAGTCGCGTCACAAGGTACACTCTGCCATTTTAAATCCCTCTTTAAGAAAGGCAGGGTTAATCTGACTCCACAGTGGGAGATGATGGATCTAATAATTTTGAATCTAATCAGTTAATTAAGTTACCATGGCAGTTCACAATATATTGATGTATGCTTGTGTTATAACCTACTTAAAAACTGTTCTACAGGGTTGGGCTGTTCGGAGTGCACAGCCGATTCCTTCTGGGACCTTCGTGTGTGAGTATATAGGCGAAGTAGTCAATGATCGGGAGGCTAACCAGAGAGGCGTAAGGTTGGACTTCATACTTCATTGGATTTATGTATGATCTGTCTGTTTCCTGCACCTGAAATGATCAAGTCTATCGAATAGCTGTTTCGTAGTTATTCTCGGCTGCATACTTGATATTTCAATAGTTCCTCTCTCATTTTCTAGTTGTGGTATATTAATGGAGTAGAGCGTCAATGAAAAATTCATGAGGCAGGTACAGTGGACTTGGATTTGAGATCCAGTGCAGTTCCTCGTGCAAACTTATGTCGGTGTTGTGAATTTTCATATCTCAATTTGTGTTGTAGGTTTTCCTGCCCATTTTCAGAGGCTTTACACTTTTCTTTTACGCTCAAGATTTTCTTAAATTGTTCATATTCAGGTATGACCAAGATGGTTGCAGTTACCTTTATGATATCGATGCACACCTGGACATGTCGATCTCTCGAGCTGGTGCAAAACCGTTTGTGATTGATGCTACTAAGCATGGAAATGTCGCTCGCTTCATCAACCATAGGTTGTTCATGCTGGCTCATTGATTTGATCATTCTTGTCCATTCTGATCTACAGCGATGTTTTAGAAACATTGTTCATCTTGAAACTTGTTGAAAACAATATGAAATGATTCTTCATTGGACTATCTCAGCTGGAGACATTATGTTTGACATCTGTACCCTGATGTACAGCTGTGCTCCTAATCTGATCAATTATGAGGTGCTGGTGGAAAGCATGGACTGTCAGCTGGCCCACATCGGTTTCTTTGCCAATCGAGATGTAAGCACCATCCATGTATATTCAAACTATTGCTACTTTTTAATTACGATTTCATCCAGTGCTTCTTGAACTATTTCTTTTCTTTTCGTTCTCTTATTTTCTCTTGTTAATCTTAAGAGGATCTCTTTGTGTTTGTGCATGAGCAGATTAGTGCAGGGGAAGAACTTGCATACGATTATAGATACAAGCTACTCCCAGGAAAAGGTTGTGCATGTCACTGTGGTGTATCGACTTGCCGCGGGCGTTTGTACTAGATGTATTCTAATTTATGTAGAACCCAGACTGTAGGAATCACAGATATTTTGTTGTGAACAAGACCATAATAAACCCTAACCCTAAACCCAAAACCTGGTCTTGTGTACTTCAGCGGAATATGCAATTTTGTGTCAATAATAGATGATCAGGTGTTGGGTTTCATGAAATAACTGTTCATGTACAACCATCAACACAAATATAAAATTTGTGCCATCAAATATTTGTCGGTAAGGCTAGTAAAATTGCATTCCTAGACTAAGATCCTCATGCATTTAACCTTGTACTACTGCTAGAGTTTCCGTACCTAGGAATTATGCTTGATGGAAATACCAACAACGTTGTCTGCATTTTTGTAATTTTGTTTTTAGTGGAATCATGAATCTATGCCTGAATATTTTGTATGGGATTCAGCATATGTGAGTATACTGCTTGTGTGCCAGTAAGAAAACAAATCAATTATGCATTGTGAAACTAATATTTAAGTTAAACTAGTGGTTATTCTTTGGTAGGTTACTTATGATACACACTATGGTCATGGCAAAGCAATGACATCTTCTTTTAAGCGGCACTTATTATTAGTCAAAACTATGGATGTTATATTTGGAAAAAAATGAGAATAGATTTGTAATTATTGTAGATATTTATGAATTTTTTAATATTTTTAAAATAGAATTTTATGTATTTGCAATTTCAATTAAAGAAAGAACTTTTGTTATATATATAGAAGCAGGCAACAATGAACATTTATTATAGACAATTATTTAATGTTAATATTAATAAGTTGCCTATTTGAAAGAAGTACAATGAAACCAACTTCACAAGTGCATTGTAAAGATTGTGCCACCACAAGTACAAAAGAGCCAAAGATTACTATGCTAGAGAAATCTAGTGAAATAAGATCAAAATTTCAAGGATTTTTATAACATAGTAAGCTCTTCTTACAATTACATCTTTCTTAATACCTTCATGGTATCACTTAAGTAAGATTTACGTATACACTTTTATTTGGAAGTGCTCTTCTATGCTTTATACTTTTGATGGAAAAAGATACATCTTTTTTATAATTTAAATTCAAATTTAGGGGCATTTATGGTTATTTTTGAAAAAAATAATTAAAAAAGAATAGTGAGAATAAAAACTCTAGTCTCTATAATAAATGTCACTTTCAATTGCTATCTAAACTTCAAAATTCCAATAAATTATTTAAAAACTCTAGTCTCTACAATAAATGTCACATTCAATTGCTAACTAAACTATGAAATTCCAAATAATTTATTTGTGACTTGGATTGGAGTAATAAAACTCTTATCAATTATTTTCAATATAATTTGAAAAATAATGTCAAATATCTATTGTTGATAATGTCAAAAATAAATTTATTAAAATAGTTCATTATTCAAATAATTACATGTAACAATCAATTTTTTAAAAGATGCAAAGAACAAAGATTTGATAAGAAAGGGACAAATAATAGCAATTTGCTTTGAGTCTCCAAAAATCTCTTCATTAAAACTAGAACATATATAAATTAATACAATCCAATTCAAGAAATTAATATTAGTTAAAAAAGGCACTTATTGTAAAAAACTTATGTTTATATTATAAAAAAGTAGATCATAAAGAACAAGTTTGTTGTATTAAATCAAGTATAATCTAAGAACAACATAAAAATTCAAACATGATGAAAGTTAAATATTAAAAGAAATTTTAGTTGCAATAGGAATCTTGCAAATAAAGAACTTTAGATTACATTTATCAAATATTAGTTCTATACTACTAATAGATTATATACCTTATTTTGAATTCTATCTAATTATTAAAACTTATAACTGTTAGTTTTTAGCTCAAAAGCTTTTCAATACCTAATCTTCAACAAATTTTATAAACACTTTGTACTACAACAAAAAATAATACTCTCAAAGAAGATCTAATCAACTTCAATGGAGATTATTGATAGATAATTACTTGCATCTTAAGATTTTATCAAAGAAACCAAGTTGTTAAAAATGGTATTATGAGATTAAATATCTAAGATTTTATTCAGCATACTTAATGTCCATTAAATTTATTAATATATTTTTTTCTTTGATTTAAATTTCACAATTCTCATATTTGTTAGAAATTATAAAATATTACTTTAAGATTTATTCCAAATATCAACAAACCATCTTAAATCATATTTATTAAAGTTAAGATATTTATTCAAGTTATAAAAAAAATAAAGTCTATTTGTTATTTATGCATCACCAAATTTTATCCATATTTCAATCTATAAGCAAATAATAAGTACATAAATATTGAAGAAAATTGAATTTACCAATTGAGAGAAAGAGCTCCTAAAATTCTTAGCTATTGAATGTCCTTGTTCTCGAACCTCGATGTTGATCTTTTAGTAGCAATTACTTCTTGTTGAATTATTAAATTGCTTTTTAATTCAACAATTGTCTAGATACTAAAGTTAAATATGATCTCACAAATTTTTATTTTGATTGAATTGATAGATTTTTCAAGATCACAAAAGACCTTATCCTAAAATTCAAATATTTGAGATCCAAATTTAATAAAACTCTCATATTATTTAATCTAATAAGTTTATTAATTTAAAATTTATAAAATATATTTGAAATAAGCACTATAACAAACTTCTAAAATTTCACCTATAAAATTGCTATGATATTTACAAATTCTTCAAATAAGTAAGCTTCTTTGTATTTTTTTAAATTAAAAATCTTTGAATACATCTCTCTCTTTGAAAAGCTCTTAGAAACTCAATATACATTTAAATCACTTAAAACTAGTACTAAAGGAACCCTCTTAAAGTCTACTCTTAAATCTTATTCTTTGATTTGCAAAAGAATCCTAAAACTATTATTGGTGTGTAGTTTTGAGCTTTAGAGTGCGTATTCAACCACAATTCACAATCCATCTTCTTTGGATATCAATTCTTAATATTTTGAGGTAAAATTTATTAAAAACTATTATTAAATCCTTTCTAAAGATATTTATATTATTTATTTTCTTAATCTACTTTGTTTTGGCATTTTATTGGCTATACAAATTAAATAGAAGTTATTTATTTATTTATTTATTTATTTACTTTAATTATTTTAATTTTTTTTTAATAAAAAGTAGTATCAATACTTAATTTTTACTAAATTCCTATCTTTTATCATTATTTTTCTATTATATCTTTCAATTAGGTTCTTTTATAATAAAATCTATGTTTTTATCTTTTATTATATACTTGTGTTACAACATAAGATCTTGCAAATTATTTGGCAAGGATTAAAAAAGTTTTTACAAGCTAATTTCATCCTGCTAGTAGACTCTAGTATTTGGTTGTCTTCAATGGTCATCATTCCAAAAACATTTGTCACATTACAAATTTGCATTTATTTTTGTAAGATAAATGCCACTACTAAAAATGACCATTATCCCTTCTTGTACATAGAAGAAATAATTGACAAGATTGCAAACTACAAGATATATAATTTTATTGATTGTTTCTTAGAATACTACTAGGTAATAATAGTACCTAAAGATAAAAACAAGATTGCCTTTACAATATAATAGAAACCATTTCAGTTTGAATGGATATCTTTTAGTATAAAGAATATACCAATGATATTGTTGTGATGTAACATGGCTAATAGGTGAAAGGGTAAAGAAATATTATATTTTAGAAGATCTTATTTCAAAATATTATAGAAAATTATCTAAGAAATATAGATAATAATCAAAGGGTAGTAAATTAAAAGTGCAAATGCTGCCTTTCTACAAAGTGGGCTTCTATTTATTTTGTAGGGCCATAAATAAGGCAAAACAAGGTAGATCAAAAAAATAAAGAATATAGACATATGTAGGGAAGAGTTAAGAGTTGATTTTAGCAAAAATTACCTCAAGAAGACAAAAATTATTATCCAAAGAGAATTAGTTAAAAACCTAGATCAAAATTAGACCCTGAGGTACAAAATTGCATACCTACAACAATTCCAGGGTTCTTTTGCAAATTAGAAAGTAAAATTTGGAAGAATACTTCATAGAATTTTTTAGAAAATTGATTTTGAGCAATTTGAATTTGTAATGATTGTGTGAGAGCTTTGCAAAGTAAAGGTTGTTTTGGATGATTCTAAGTTTTGTGAAATAAAATAGAGTTTATAATTCGGACAATTTTGTGAGTTTTATACTTGATCTATGGATAAAATTTGATAGGATTGTAATTATAGTTGTATTAAATATATATTTTTAATTTGAACTCAATCAAATAGTTGGATTGGAGATTATTAAAGTTCAATTGTTTCATCTACCATCATGATTGTATTCAATTCTTAATACTTAAATTAGACTTTTTTTCAATAATTTATCCTACTTCACTACATTCAAACCTTTTTCTTCCTAATTCCATTGATTTATTCTAATATTTATTCTAATTACATTGTGAGTCATAAAATCTAGCTCACACTCTATTCTCCATAAAGTACATCATACCAACATATGTTTTTGATGACATAGGGCCAAGGGTATGATGGATACTACTTTTGATAGAAGTAAAAATAGATTTGCAACTATTACAAATCTTTATGAGTTTATTAATACTTTTAGAATGGAAATTTTACATATTTTTAATATGAATTATAGAGATACTATTCTTATGTCCATAGAAGAAGTCAACAATAAAATTCAAAGTTTGTGCCTAGAAATTATGTAATTAAAAGAAGCAAGTAAGTTCATAATTGAATCTGAAGGGTTTTGGTACTATGAGTATAAAAGAGGCAAAGATAAGTATGTTGGAGAAGTTTAATAGAACAAGGTAAAAAATTTGAAGGTTTTTAGAATAAATAAAGTTTTATCTAAGATTGCATCCTTCTCAATACTCTAATGGATTTATTCAAGTTGGATTCGTAAGAATACTTTTCTTTAGGAATATTATTTCTTAATTTTCATCTTTGATGGAAAAAGATTCACGATAATTCTATGATTTGATTCATTTTAGAAATTATTAATGACTACATTCTAAGAAAGTGATCAAAAAAGGATAGCAAAGACCAAACTTATATCTCTATAATAAGAATTACATTCAACTACCATACATGCTGTTAAATTCCAAAATCTCTCTTATAATTTAGATTGGAATGATAAAGCCTTTATCAATCAATTTTGATATGAGTTAAAAGATAATATCAAAGATTTATTGTTGATAATATCAAGAGCAGATTTATTAGAGCAAATTAACACAATATGTTTTAAAACTTTTTATGAGCAAGAAAAGACTCATTATTATCAAGAAGGTTTGTGCATATATTATGGAGAACCTAAGCATAGTCCTTAACATTCTTTAAAGAAGCAATGTAATCTCAAATTGAAGAATTTGGTTGCCAAAGAAGACAATTCTAACTGGGTA